CTATTAAATCTATCTCAATTCTAATTTTAGAATTGAGGGCAGACGTACCCCGAAGCGAGGACGGCGTGAGAATTGCCTCACCAAATACTTGTCTTCTCTATTTTTCAGCATTTTCGTTTTAGCTTTAAAAATAAGTGATTTTCGTATAAGCACTATTGTCAAACTGTGATATCAATTGAGTAAGAGATTGAAACTCTGTTTTTGAATCCAAGGTACAATAAGACATTGTACTAGGCTAGTTGGAATCACTTACTCAACATAAATATCACTTGGAGTGTGTTTGCACACCAAGTGTTCGACAAATTGCCTAAACCAAAATTATCTTATTTGTGCATCTAGTTTTGGTTTGCTCTTTAAATCATTGGAACTAGGAATCCTAACAAGTGAATTAGATCATTGATAAGTGTGATTAGTGTTGTGATTCTCTTTTCCATATTTTCATTAATCCATAGGCTTAACGCATATCCGGTTTTCCAATAACCGTTCATTTTAGACTATATTTTCCTCGGCCGCTTCCGCACTTAAAACATATGTTCAAAACCAATTTTTTAATTGGTAGCGCCGAACCAACTTTTAATTGGGATCTATTCAACTCCCCCCCACCCACCCCTTCTAGATCCGTGCCATAGTCTAACAATGTTTATATCATATATTTAAGAGAACAATTACATTTTTTTCAATTATGTTGTTTAATAATCATTGGAAGAGGTGGAGGAGAAGTGTATTTTTTTTGGTTTGGAAATGGTTTTTGGGTAAATGATGGGTGAACTCTTGCACCTTCTCTTAATGGCTTCAGAATCCTATCATCTATCTGCGCCTATAACAAATAAAGTGTTTTCCTTGGTTGGGAGGTAGGCTATGACATTGGTTTCGTTTGTTCTATTATGATGGGATCTGATCTGTTAATGGTGGATCTAGTGCTCCTTCCAACCTCATTATAAAAGTCACTTTCCTGGAATGATCATTGGAAGATAAGAGGAAAGAGTTAGTAGAAGTTCATAAAACATTGACTTCTTCTTCCGCTAAATTGAAGAGCTTGGGTCACCATTAAGAAAGAGAAAGAGAAAGGAGCTTGACGACTCTCTCAATGACAACGTGAATGCCATGTAGGCTGGTTTCCGGAATGCTTTGAGTCAGGTTGAGTTGTTCGGCATTAGAAAAAACATTGCTTGGAAAAAGAAAGATCTAGAAAAAAGAGGTTGCATGGTAATTTATGATTTTATTTCATCATATAATATTTCACGGTTTTATTTCATCATATATTCTTTCACGATTTTATTTCATCGTCTAGCATTTTATGATTTTATTTTATCATATAGTCTTACATAATTTTATTTCATCGTATCGGTGGCGTGGACGAGCTATGCATCCTCTTTGTTTTGATGTATTTGGGAAATGTGTCCAACCAAAGGTCAGATCCCCTTACCTACACCAGGTGAAAACTTGGTTCAAGGCCGACATATCTAGGGCTCCGCCTCATACGCTTTGGAGTGGCTAGATACCAAGAAGGTGTGTGCCAACAACGACTTTGTTTTCCTTGTTAACCATATATCTTGTTCTTCACTTTGAAAAGTAAATCATATAATTCAATAAATGTTATTTTCGTTATCAAAGTATTACATCAGAAAGTTGTTATTAGTTCATATTTGTATAACCTGAGACTTAACTAAAATATTGCTTGAGCTTCCTATCGTTCCATGTCCTTCGGATTAAATATATGTGTATAGTCTCATAGTGTACGCTCAATTTCCCGTGCTAGCCCTGACCCTTTATGGTCCTTCCCAGTTCACTACGAGTTTCATGTCTCTGACGTCCTTCCCACCAACGTCAGCCCGTCTAAACACCATACTAGAATTCTTGAGGTCAAACTTACTTGTTATGTCGAGCTGCTATTGTCTATTTCACATCTGCACTCGTGAGGGCAACAACAATTTTTTCTTTTAAAAGGTCTACATCTTCCTTTGATAAGAGGTATGACATCCTCTAGCTCATTTTCCCTTTCTCGACCGGGATGACAACCTCAATCCCATAAGTTGTATCTCGAAATCCCAAGATAGGTATGCCACATTTCTGCCTTTCATTTACCTCGAACGAGTTTCTTGACAAAGGTTTTTCCTTAATGGATGGAATGTCATTTACTGAGCCAACTGAGAAGAAACGAGAAAAAAAGTAAGGCTAAGAAATCTTATATATTGTCGGCAATTGGATCAGTCATCATCTTCTTTCTCAAGCTCGTCGCAGTAATTTGTAATTTTTACTGACATCCAACAACGAAGGAGTGGTGTGAATCAAATACGGGCCTAGAGGTCGCAGGTGCAATTCCCTCCAATACCTTATAAATTTGGCATGGTGATTAGATCTTTCGTTATTTAACCTCTGGCCAACTCAAACCAAAAACAAAATTGAGACCTCATTTAACTATTTAGATATTTAATAAAAATAAAATAAATTTTTTATTCTGCCTAAATCAATACATCTTCATCTCGCTTCGCTCCATTTGATTTTAACTCATTCAAAACAATGAAATTTAATTATATTTCATCACGTAACACTCCATTTCATCAATGTAAACAAAGACTAAATTTGTCCAAAATATATTTAAGCAATTTTAAATGACACATAAATATAAAGAATTTGAAATTCCTCCAAACCTATATAATGTGAATTGCCAAATTAATTATTATTAATCTTTTAAATTTTACAACTTGGTCCTCATATTTTTAAAATTTCAATTTGACCCCTAAATTTTAAAAAATTACAAATTAACCCCTTAAAATTTTTGAATTTGTAAATTGATTTCTATTTTCCAAATTTAAACAAAAGTTTTACAATTTGTAAAAAAACTCAAAATTTTAACAATAAATCATTTCAATACTTAATCTAGAAAAACTAAAATTAAATAATTTCAATTAGAGCATTTGAATTATTCTAGAAAAACTAAAATTAAATAATTTCAATTAGAGCATTTGAATTATTTAAAATTTTAAATTCTCTAAACATTTCGAATGCCCTCGTCCAACCGCACCATCAAATAAATTCAATAATATTTTGCATTGTAACTTTTGTGACCTTTATTGGCAGTATATCATGTTCAAGGTGTTCAGATGATTGACTTGATTTTTTAATGGTGGTTCTGTTGTTTTAAGCCATGCACTTCCTTCTAGTCAGCGGAATCACCGCTTAATACATTAAGGATGGCATCTAGAGTTTCTTCATCCAATTCACCAACTTTGTAGTGTGGTCAGATTTTTGGGTCATATTCAAATCGGGTTGGTCCTAGACTGCATTGAGCATGTGGAGGTACAACCTAAAAGTATTAAGTGAGTCCACTACAAAAAATGAGGTCAAGAAACTCATAGTTCAAACCTGCCTAAACCAAAATTTGATGAGGTCTGCAACTCCCAAACATCAAGACAAATGCTTAAAATATGTGTTATGAATTACATAAGTTGAAGATGGAAAATCTTGGAGCAAACGTTCCAAACAATAAGTAATTATAGATAGTTATGAACAATGTAAGACACTTCACCTTAGAATAATCAAATCATGATGGTCATTAGGGTAATTGGGTAAATGCCACAAAATTTGGGTAATTGGATAAGTAAGTTCAACGAAAGTGGGAGAAGGATAAGGAACTTTGCACTTCCTTTCATCAATTAAAAAGCTGAAGAGATAAGTAAAAGAGAATCTTCATAATTCACTAAAGCAAAAAGCTTACACAGTGTGATTCATCTAAGATAGTTATATCACCACATGTTCCGATTTTAGGAAACAAAGTCTAAAATTTGCAGCACTGCAATTTCTGATGAGAAAAGAAAGTTGCAAACGACACGGACCCACATTGGCCAACTAGCCGGAAATTGTCCGTAACTTTTCTTTATAAAACATTATCTTACTATTTAGAGAGTATACATTAGAGTTTGAAATAAAACAAAAATAATTCATACATTTTAGAATGAAATATAAGAGAGAATGAAGATGAATTCAAACTTCAAATAAACAATACATTCCTTTTTCCCAACTCTTCAAATTCCTAATAAGCCTTTTGAAATCGAGTAGTGTACTAGAAAACAACCAACCAAATTTTCAAATGAGTACGAAGTCAAGAATGAATTGAATAGTATATTAAAAAAGAGTACATTATTAGCACTTCTTCACATCCTTAATTTCCCTTTTCTTTACTTCATCCAAATCCAAATATACATACATTTCACATGATCGGGAAACATTCTTTAATTGAGAAATGGTCAATTTCAGCCGTCACAAATATATCAAACTTCCAAGTGTCATACTTTTTGCACAACAATAATTGTCAGTTGCAAAATGTATTTTTAATTTAACATTAAAAGTAATAATTTGAGTTAGCTTAGTATCGATCATGTGAGTTAGCTTAGTATCATACATCCAATATTTTGAGAATCTAAATCATGGGAGACTCCAAACAACTTCAATACTCAAATCCATTACCACTTGAATCAACCGCGTGTTGGTCACAACTTGGCAAATATACAAAAGTTTGGTAATTAAGCAAAACTGAGTTTACCTCCAAACTTCAATTTGACTATAAGTAATGAAGTTTTTTTCCTTGAAATTATAAGTTATGCATTTATTTTAATATTAAAATTGCTTTCAATTTAAAAATATCGAAGTTTATCAAATTTTATAAAGCTAATTTTGAAAGTATTTGGTTTGCTTAACCATTGGTGCCATAGTTTAATCTCTGACAAAATGTATATGAAAAAAACATGTCAATATATGCCAACTCTTTAGATGAATCTCACTTATCTTGAGAGATTGATTAGTCTCTACCACGTTGTTATACCAGAAAATCCATAAGCAACATATTTTGTTCTACCTCCCTGACCCTAGAGTATTTATTTATCTTGATAATATGGTTATATGATTTATCAATGCATTAATACGTAAATGCCATAGGAAGAAACTAACGTGTGCGCAAATGCAGATTCAATTATAGTGAATTTTAGTAAAACAAAATCCAATTAGTTTCCAAACAGGTATGTCAAAATAGCCAAAACTGCAACGACAATTATGATGTTTAGGAAATAGTTTGACTTTAGAGCCTTATCTGGGCTTCCGCCAACTGCCTCATACTCAGCTTGTATCTTCTTCCTCATAGCGTCGGACAGCTCTCTCTGCAATTCAAATAGGCACACTATTGAATTTTATTCCTTTCTTCTTCATTTTAAGACTTCCAAAATTACATGTGATAATCACACGATTTGAAAAAAGCTTCTTCTTGTATTTATTAAAAGATACTTGGACAAGAAAACAAGACACTTGTTTTTACTCCTGCACCAAACCAGGAAAAGTGAAAATGAAAAATATGCAAATATTTATCCTGCGCAAGTCTTTCATTGATATATATTCTGCAAGCATCATCAATAAAATGAATGTTAAAATTTAATAACTTGTGCAAGCTTAGAACCTTTCCAGAGGAGTACTTGGCTGCTACAAACTTCTCTCCCTTAACATTTGGAGAACCATCTATCACAATTCCCTGCAAAACAGATAATAAGAAAACTTTAACTAGGTGACTTGGTCAATTATCTTGTTACATTAACTCAAATAAAATATGTAAGCAGACATGAAAAAGAAAGTATTATTACGCGGTCATCAAATAAATACACTCATATTTTTTTAATCAGTAAGTACACCCATATTAATACACACAAAACAGAAACTGAAGGTGAACAGACCTCAGGAGGATCAAATTTGGCTCCAAGGTTGCTGAGTTTGGCATGTGCTTCAGCATAATCTTTAAAGAATGCTTCCTGATCTTCAGCATATTTCTCAGCATATACCTGCATATATCACAAATAATATTTTAGGTATATCACATATATTAATTAATTGTTGAAACGGAAAAAACATTCAGCTATTTTACCTTGAAGGAAGGGTCTTCAAAAAGAGCTGCATCAGTTGGCAATACCAATAAATCTTCATCCCTTTTTTCTTTGATGTCCTGTATGCAACAATAATTACAAAAAAGAAAAAAAGTAAATTGTGCACATTCCCCTCTCCTTTTCCATTCTCCCTATCCTGTTATATCCCACCTACCCTACCAACAAAATTGTCGAAAAATAATTTAAAACAAAAATCTGACCTTGAAGTAAGAATTGTCAAACTTTAACCATTGTGCGGTCCAGGATTGTCCTCCAGGTGCTCCTGGCCCGTCTTTCTGTAGATTGAGAGATATACATAAGTCTTCTATTGTTTCATTGATTTCAGATACCGTTCCATTAGAGAACTATTTAATCACCATCATGTAGACTAGCACTAAATAGACACAACTTAACAGGTCTGTTTAAGTAAGATTAGATATAGTTGACATAAGAACTATTAAGGACATAAAGAAACAATTGTTATATAGATTATTTAGGTTTACTTTTCTTAAAAGTTGAAATAAGACAAAAGGTTAAGACATGCGGAGTAACCACTCATCATATCCAATCAAGATATATTTTGATTTTGCAACAATGACGCAGGAGCAAAAATTTCAGTCTAGAGATGTTGCATTGATAACTCCTTCTAATCCCAAAACAGAGTGATATTCTGAAAATAAACCTTGATGATGGTGATTTCAATCAGAAATTTATATGTACTTGCAGTGTCCCATGAAATTCACATTCATGATACATCAAGTACGTTTTCTTTTCATAATGAATCCGTAAAACAAGTTTTTCTTTAAATATAAGGGGATTATGTTTCCCTTGGGGCACAAGTTAGCATTACCCTACAAAATAAATTCACGACGCGAAGACTGCAATAGGCATTGTAACAGCAGCAATAATCACAATGTCCGTATCCACAGCCGCAATCTAAAACCCTGACACTTATGCTAATGGGTTTTCCAATATCAAATATTAAAATTAGACTATAAATTTGAAAGAGAAGGGTACTCTTCAAAAGTCATGTGTTTTAGTTTGTCGTCTAAAAAGGAAATAACGTACCGTGTATTTAGTTTCAGGTTTTCCCCAGCCACTACGGTCTGGTCTAGATCGACCCAGTGTGTGCGCGCCAGATAATGCAACAATTTCCTGCAGATACAATAAATTGATAAACAAAATCAGACATATAGCTATTAGCTATAATCCAATATACAAGTTACAACCTTCATCACTATGAAAATCACAGAAAATTACCTTGTCGTCCAATCCCATTCGGTAAAAAACTTCCCGCAAATGATCGGCAGGTGAAGGGGGGCCTGCATCTAAATTCAAAAAATATCTAGAAGTTAGTAAGTTGTCAATGTTAGAAAAGGGAACTATTTTTCAATATAAGATAAACTATCATCCATATTTTGGAACATGTAACCTCTTGAAAGGAACAAAAGGAGATGTATGATCTATAAAACACAATTTGAAGTTCCCAATTTGAATACACTTGTGTTTACAGGTTTGTTATATATTAGGCAATGCACATACTTGGATAAGGAAATTTTGTATATTTACCTACTGTAGAAAATGTGTTTAATCTTTAAAATATGTATACTTGACTAAGCAATGATGTAAAATTTGTAAATACAATTTCAAAGGCCGAGTTAAACTTTCAAGCAATTTTGAAGTCAATATTCGATCTGTACCCTAAGAAGACCCTAGTGATTATGCAATTTAGTCATTTATCCAATTCGAGAGAAACTCTAGCGCCCTCCATTACCGCCAAAGTGTATCTTGCTGTGTCTTGTCATTGTTGGAGTCAATTCGGGGAGGACAAACACAGGGGAGTATTTTACTTTGGGGTCTTCCTTTTATGAGCAACACACTTTTGTAAGAGACTCGCCACATATTCACCAAAAACCTTAAGGTGAGTATGGGTTCTCCCACTTATAAATGCTAAAGTCTCCACATTCCTAACCAACGTGGAACATCCCGACACTTGTAATTTTTTTTTCAACACAATCTTGTTGAGAAAGATATCAGTTAAAACAATTAATAAAATGTCAGCAGATGATTACCCCAAGATCGTACTTTTCCCCACACTATAATAATAATAATAACAATGGAGTAATTTTAATAACTTCTTTGTAAAAAATAAATGAGAATTCAAATGTTATTATTATAATCTCACCAAACAAATGGTGGCTAAACTCTTTTGGATTTTTTTCTTCTCAAAAGGTTTTTCTACAATTATTTCTCCTCCTAAAAGGAACTCCATCAATATCCCCCTTCTGATTTAGGTGGAGAAATAATGAAGTAGAATTAACCATTAAAAGTAGTAATTATGAAATTAAAGGAAGCATGGATATTTTTCTAAGTATATGGAAAGTAAAGGATAAAAACTCTCTTTGAATTATACTCCCTCCTTACTATCTTTCTTTGGTTAAAAAGGTCATACTCTGCTACATCAATAACATCTTCGTAGAAAACCCTTTTGAGAAGAAAAAGTCCAAAAAAGTTTAACCACCATTTATGTTTGTTGAGATTGTAATAATAACATTTGAATTCTCTTTCATTTTTTACTAAGTTATTATTGTTACTCCAATGTTACTATCATTATTATTATAGTGTGGGGAAAAGTACGATCTTATTAATTGTTTTAACTGATATCTTTTCCAACAAGTGGTATCAAAGCTTCGGCTCACCACAAATTTTAACTTCTATTATTCACAATGGACGAGTCAACCTCGATGACATCAACAACAATGATTAAGTTAACCTCTTCAAACTACTCAATTTGAAAGTCAAGAATGGAAGACATACTCTATTGCAAAGATTTGTATCAACCTTTGCAAAATAAAAGGACGAAGTCAACCGGCAAGTTTGATGATGATTGGAATTTGATGAACTGGCAAACTGTTGGACACATTCGCCAATGGATAGATCAAAGTATTTTTTATCATGTTACGCAAGAAACGGTTGTGTATCCGTTATGGATGAAACTTGAAACCTTGTAAGAGAGAAAGATAACTCAGAATAAAGTCTACTATTTGTCGATTAGTAAACCTCAAGCACAGAGAAGGCCATACTTTTTCTGAACACTTGAGTGATTTTCAAAGATTGATAAATCAACTGGCCAATATGAAGACGGTGCTTGAAGATGAATTGCAAGCATTGTTACTATTAAGTTCTTTGTCAAACAATTCGGATACGCTTGTGGTTTCGTTGAGTAATTCAGCACTGCAAGGTGTTCTAGCATTGGACATAGTAAAAGATAGCATGTTTAATGAAGAATCAAGAAGGAAGGAACAAAGAATGTTGTTAGAGTCTGAGGCACCTGTCTTAGAGTATCGTGGAAGAAGTATCCACATGAAGTTCAATACTAGAGACAAGTCAAAGGGCAAGTCTAGAAATAATTTCAGGAAAAGATCGTGGACAAGAAAAGACATAGAATGTTATCATTGTCACGAGAAAGGTCACATAAAGAGAAAATGTAGGAAGCTAAAAAGAGAGGCTATAATTCAAAGAGATTTTTTCTCCTTTGCTTTCCATATACTTCCTAGAAAAATCTGTGCTTCCTTTAATTTCATAATTACTATTTATATTCGTTAATTCTACTTTATTATTTCTCCTCCTAAAGAGGAACTCCATCAGCTATGTCTTGTCATATGTGCCCTAACTCCTAATTTCTCCTCCTAAAGAGGAACTCCATCAGCTATGTCTTGTCATATGTGCCCTAACTCCTAACCAACAATTGACTTGTCACTGTTCCACTTACCACTATCCCTTTAGTCCCACTCTCACTTCTGTTTAATAGTTTGGTAGAAGAAATTTCTTTCCATTCAAAATTCAGTGATTCATTTGCACTAAATTCTAGCCAACTTGACAGACACATGCATATCGTTATAGATGGACATTAGAAAGGGTGCATGAAAAAGGTCTAACCAATAGACCAGATCAACCTTATATTTCTTAGTTTGACTCTGTTGATTTGGGAGATGCAAAAATTTGTGGGATTGGGTTCAGGTCTAAATTAGTTCATATATCACATTACTGATAACCATCCTACTAATCTAGTCAAAACTTTATGTGGACTGTCCGGGCCTCTTTGTATCATTAAAAAAATGCATGAATGACAACCCATTGCATCTATCTCTATGAAAGTTAACTTTGCCAGAAAATGATAACGAATACAGCCATAATAATGAAAGAAAAAATGCCTGAAGTGATGAAGTGTTCTAAGACGCTCTAAGAAATTTGCATGCAGTCTTACTGCTTGGGAGAATAAGTAGCATGCTTACATAGATAGCCTAAAAAACCCTTCTAAGTTCTAATAATCTTTTGGAGTAATTTTAACCCTTCTGATAATCTTTGAGTCAATTAAACTCTCTCGAGAAATCATTGTCAGATTGACTTATGAATTCTTGTTCTGAATGAGCATATAATAATAATATAGTTAAATTTCATACCTTAACAATATAAACCTTATAATAAAAAAATTCTACAGTTTCTTTGTTTCTTATTCGCAAATTAACAGTAGCTTAGTCAATCCATGTTCTAGAATCTTAGAGGGGCAGAGAAGACAGTTTGTATCACAATATAGCTCTAACTCCAACTGGATATATAGGCTTTACCAGGAAGTCGTCCTTCTTCAGGACATTGCTCAGGTCCAGAGGTATCTACTCTTCCATATTTCATGGGAATTTTCGGGCCTCCGGCTTCCTAAAAATTCAAAAAAAAATGGTCAGTGTATCTTTCAATTATTTCATGCACAATCAATCCTTGAAGCCAAAGTAGGACATAGGCAACCTCCACAGCTGTAGCACCAGCTAACTGAAATAAGTCTGCATATGTCACGCCTGAATACTTGTCTTTGATCGGCTGGAGAAGTTTCAATGCATTTACAAGTCCTGAAATTGCAACTCGAGAGGATGTTTACCATGAGCCAAATTTGGAAATAATTGGTGGTTAATGAATACATACCAGCATTGGCTCCATGTTTCAACTCAGCTTCAAATCTTAAGCTACCATTGGCTCCACCTCTCTGTGGCCACTCTTCAATATTCTTATTATAAGTACCAGCATCATGCCATCCCAAGCGAATCTATCACATAAAAGTCTATGTGAACCATCATAGTAAAATGAAAACAAAAAATCCACATATGCTACAAATCATATGACAAGGATACAACTGTGTGGCAGGTATATCTCATCAACCCAGAGTTTGACAACTTGGCTGACTGAAGCATTTTGGTAACTGAAAAGTTTATTCATCATCCTTGAATCATTTAAAACACTGCAAAGCTCAGAAGTGAGAATTGAGAAAAATTCAATAGCATCTTTTGGATGCGTGGTGAAGCTATCAATCTCTAATGGTAAATGTGAAGCTATAAATCTCTAATGGTAAATGTGAAGCAAGAGTAGTCTATTCTGTAAATCTCTAATGATCAATTTGAAGAAGATAGTTCTTATAGAAACATAAATTTAAAAATAAATAGAGAATGCAATTCCCTGAACAGAAGTAAATTCGACATAAACATCGATAATCACGGAATTTAGTTACTTAACCTTATTTTCACCTTGATATCAATAGGATTAAGGGTATCTAGGGATTGGTGGACTAGAACGGAACAGAGCTGAATGGAAATGATGTATGGACTGGAGCGGAAAAAAATGGACCGGAGATTACACTTCATTGTTTGTGTATTTTTTTTTATAATTTGACGAAACGAAACAAATTAGTTCACTCAATTGCATACCTCCATTGGGAAATGAAAATTGAAGGATTCACCGGAATATGATGGAATGGATTCCATGATGTTCCATTCTACTCCATCCATTATATTATTTACCAATCGGAACAATGAACCCTAATTATATACCACTCCATTCCATTTTATGGCATTCCACAAATCCAAACATACCCTAAGTAAGGCTATTCAATCTTCACAAAATTACAAAAACGTGTTGATATTAAAAGTACCGAGAAATCCATAATTGAACTAACACTGTACAAATTCAACTCCAGACAAAGGAAACGCTAAATCAAATGTAATATACTTGAACAGAGAGATCATAATTTCTCTTAAAAATAAATCAAAGAAAAAAAAAGTAAAAACACTTCAAAATTACCAGAAGAGGATGACAGAATTTAGTACTGAGAAGCTCCTTGATATCTTCTCTAGCGCTCTTCAATTGATCAGGATCAGACGCCAAGGCCGAAACCGTTCCGAACCGTCCACTCGAAACACGAACCTCTGATCTTCGCTGAAAAATTGAGCCGTGAATTAACCACACACACTAAAAAAGAGAGATAAAATCATCAGAGAAAATTATTGAGAAGATAAGAAACCTGATCGAGAAATAGGTGAGAAATGCGAGGCGAGGACCGCAAGCATTTGAGCGAGGAAACGGAACTAGAAGTGGATGAAAATGAGAAAAAGGAACGGGAAGAAGAGGAGAGTGATACGGTGGCTCTGGTAGCGGAGGGGATGATACGAGCGGCGGCGCCGCCAGTAATAGTAGCCATTTTGGTTGGTGAAACTGAAGGTCGAGATGGTAAAGGGAGTGAAGGAGTGAGTAACACACGTTCTGCCATTTGATTCGGTTGAGTTTTATATATTTAATTAAATTATTAATTTAATTTATTTTTCTCTCCTTGTGTTTTGGATGATAGATAATACACTTGTCAATCAGAATTTGAGTTCTTGTGTTAGGGAAATACCCACGAGTCACGAAGATATGTCAGGTGCGTTTATATAATACTACTACTACCACCTAATATTTGACCCATCTCATTCCCAAGAGCCACATCACGTTCATTTTCTTGAGAGTCAAGTGTTTGGTGAATCAGGCCCCGTCATTTATCAATTTTTTTGTTGAGAAGTGTAACCTACGCACTACATAAAATCAATCACGTGTATTTCGTTAAGTAAAACAAATTAGTTGAATACATGGTTTAATTTACTATGATGATTTACTTATAGTATTGTTTTCAAGTAAAAGAAATGCTAACTTAATGTATTTTATGCTTCAATGAGAAAAATCTTTAGGTTACTTATACTATTGTTTTTAAGTAAAAGAAATGCTAACTTAATGTATTTTATGTTCTAATGAGAAAAAATTTTAGGTTATATTTAAATAATTTAAAATTAACGGAACGGAACATAATAGAATGGAACAAAACATAGATTTTATTTTATTATTTGGATATTTTACAATGGAACAGAATTAATATCTCATTCTACTGTTTGGAAATTAGACAGAGCAGAACTAATATCTCATTTCATTTTTACCCTTAAACACTTGACACTTATTAGAGGAAGAATGCTACAATATTGATAGATTCAACATTCATACAATAAAATAATATATATAATCATACAAAAATATCAACTTAACATTTGAAAGAAAATAAAACAAATTGCCATAAGTTTGAATATTTATAAATGGAACATGGTTATTATACCCTGAAATTGTAAAGATCAAGTACACAGGTTTTTTTCAACACCATACTTGATAATCATGGTAATTAATAAACAAAATCAAGTCTTGCTAAAATTAAAAGATAAATATAGGTCTATTAAAGATAATGATATCAAGTCTTGCTAGAACAAAAGACAAATATAGGTCCATTATAGATAATGAGTCTCTCCTTTAAGTATTCCACCGAACCTGTAAAAATACATAAAATAAATTACGCAAAATTTCATTTGTTAAAGATAAAAAAAAAACATAGAAGTGATTAATAAATATGTTACCATTAACAAAAAGGATAGTATGGAACAATGAGATGTATCATTTCCTTGCGCTTATCGATTGTAATTCCATTAAAAGTTTTCAATGCGTCAACATTTTAAACAAGGTATATGTATACAAGAGGCGAAGAACTTTGTTCAACGCCAATCTCAACCAATTCAACCCAAATATCTTCACCATTAGCATTCTTACTCTGTTTGACCAACTCCACTATGTTCATTTCAAACACATCAACTATTTTTTTTTGAAAGTTTTAGAAATTTCAATCATGCTTGTATCATCTTCAATAACCTTCTTTACTCGCTTCTTAGTCCTAGATGATGATGCATCTTGAGAATTGGTAACAAAATGTCTTGTAGGAGAATTGTTGGAATGATGTTCATCATCATCAAATCCCTCCAAAATAACTTCATTGGTCTCAACTAGGTGGTCTATTTCTTCGATGGTTGTGCCACAACTTTTTTTAACATTTACAACCTTGTTTGCTCTCATTTCAGCAGTTGTATCTTCATACTCTCTTGTTGCTCGATCTTTTTCAAAAAAATTGGCCAATTTATCATAAAATAATATTGGCTTATTTTTCCATTCAGCGGCTTCGGATTTTGCCTACATCCTAATAAACGAAACAAGGCATCACTAAAAAAGTTTTTTTTTATAAGTGAAATCAAATAAAAATAATTTGGTAAAACAATTATAGTAAATAATACATCAATTAACTTGTTCCAAACTTCATCTTTAGCAATCCACTTATTTTTTGTTGAATCTCATCCAAACCCACTCAAGTCATTCTGGAAAGGTCGTAACAAGAATTGAATTTCGTTTTGATGTGTTTCATGTGATCTTTTATCTTTTCTTTGGAAATTAGTTTGTCCGAAAAGTGAATCTTCAATTCTTTAAGAATGTTATCCATAGCACTTGTTCTCATACTATTACCATTTTTATTTTCCAATGTTTGTTGATGCAAATATGCATCAATCAAAACTTCATCCATAGCAATTTCAATTGCATGTTTATAGACTTTTGAGTTTTCTTGGCCTCTTTAAATTTGTTTCCATGTCTATTACTAAAAAAACACAATGAAAAATATAATATTTTATGTGCAAATTCAAATGTAAAGATTCAAAACACTAAAATTCAATCCGCAAATTACAAATAAAAAATTCCACACACAAATTACAAATACAAAATTCAATCCAAATAAAACCATCGTTCATAAGAGTAACAATTCATTAAAAATAATTTTAATAATCTAGCCACATAGAACCAACAACATTATCTCTAATTGACTCTCCACTAATCATATCATCATTTTCTTCTCTTGGATCAAACACATCATATCAAAATCATAATATATCAATTAATAATTTTTATAACAAATCAAATACATGATTTCAAATCTAAATCAATTAAGAATTTTTATAGCAAATCAACAATTTATATTACTAATAATTCTTTTCTTATTTAGTTACCTAATATTATTAGCCTATTTTTATAGAACACAAACTACATCCAACTTTATTAGACAACAATAAATAAAAAACTGAGACATTTCATATTTTCATCCATAAAAGCTTTCCTCCAATTGTATAAATATACCTAATAGTATTAGTCTATTTTTATAGAACACAAACTACATTCAACTTGTTTAGACAACAATAAATAAAATACTGAGACATTTCATATTTCCATCAGTAAAAGCTTTCCTCCAATTGTATAAATATATCAGGGATTTATTAATCCATTTCTTTTTCTATCATTCCATTGCACGAATTACTACTTCAAAAGGAACGCAAAAAATAAATTCATTCATTACAAGTTGTTCACAAACCAATACACTAAATTCAAAGTCAAACAAATGAGAAAAATTAAGATCGATGCAGAGTCGTGCAAAGTCAGTGATTGATGAAAATTCTCAAAACATATTAAACAGAAAACTAATCTAACTCAACTTATGCAAGGATAGAAAAATTAACAAATGAAAATGTGTAAAATCATATCTACAAAAATGTAATTTGATAACATAACAAAGAGATTCTACCTCTAACAACGACCAATTTGGCTAACTGGCTCGCCGGAGTTGCGATTTCTAGATGAGGACTCAGGAAATCAATATAACACAAATAAATAGGTGAAAAATAAGAAGAAATATGACATACCTTGTTAAGGTAGAAGAAGAAGGTCTGGCAAGGAGAAAAGTTGCAATGAGTGAATAGAAAAATATCACGTGAAATGAAGAATAGGAATGGTTAATAAAATTGAAATTTTGGAGGACAAAATTGTAAATGTGTTATTAATTGATTATATTCCATTGGTGTTCTGGACTGGACTGACACCTGCCCCTCAGCCGAGCAAGGCCCAATCTAGTCTAGCTTAAGGTCAGGCCCAATACGACCATATGACACAATATAACCGTCATTGGACACAATATAGTCGTTGAACACATAGTCGTTTGGGGCATGCCCCTCATGCGCTTGACAGTTCACGCGACCAACTACCCCTCAGAAAGTCACGGAGATAGTTGGACCAGGTCAAAGATCACGCACTAGATCTTCCACCTGGCAGTCCCCCATTGACCGACCAGATATTTCGGTTACATGGGAGACCTTGGCCCTGCGTTGGGGGGAATCTTATAAATACCCTCTCTCTTGAGAGGGTCAGGTATTCTAATCATTTTTGCTCTAAACACTCTTACTTGCTTTCGTTCTTTAGCCCAAACACTTACTTTATTGGAGTACCTTCCAGATACATCCCCTCTTCTCCTACAACCACTGTTGTTGCCCTACATTAAAAGCCAAAAAGATCCATTTTGTTCACTCCAGATCAGTGGCGCCATCTGTAGGAACACCAGCTCCCCCGTCTTTTTGAACCAAGATTTCCCAATCTTCCCAAACAAAAGACTAAAGCTACCTCTCTGAATCTTCAACGTCATGGCCTCCCACCATAATGACGTCCAACAAGATTCCCTCGTCGTCGTTCTGGGTTGTGGCGAAACCCTCATTCCCGGAGCTACCACCAGAGAAATTAATCACAGGGGCAGAAAACCAATATCTCCTAACAACGTGAAGCCTCGTGCCCAAAGTTCCAACTATGTATACGATTTTATCGCTATCCCACAAGATGTTGACCCTTGCACATCGGCCTTAATCACCGCCCTCAACAAATCCAATTATCTGCTCTTCCAGCAAGGAGAAGAAATCGACATGCAGGAAAACACCATCGGAGAACGACCTCCCCTACGGGGATCCCTCAGCCTCTCTCGCGGATCACAGTCCCCTCTTCAGAAGCGTTGCCGAGACGAATCTAGAAGCATCTTTACTGTCAAAGAATGGTCCAAACTAGAGAAGCATGGACACAAGACCATCTGAAAGCGCGATCGTACCCCTCCTCAGAAATCCAGGCATTCCCTAGTATCCAAAAGGACCAGACCTTCTGGAAAGCCTCGCGAAGAGCATCGAAGCTGACATGAACGTTCTCCTCGATGTAGCGGGAGTCGTGGACGCATTTATTCATTCAGCAGGTTGCTCAGCGCGAGTGATGAAGACAACGCAAGCGGTCGTCTGTCACGGGAAATCATGGACATTCACATTTCGCACGGGCTGGAGAAACCTCCCCCTCTAGATCTCTATGATGGAACCACCAACCCAGATGACCATATAAAAAATATTGAGGCCATGATGCACTGTCCATAGTGCGATCAAATGCAGGTTATTCCTCACCACCCTCAGAAAAGGGGATAAGACTTGGTACAAGAGCCTTCCTCGGGGCTCGATCACGTCATGGAGGAGTCTTAGGGAGCAGTTTGCCCGACATTTTAATACCTCTAGGCGCCACCCGAAATCC